GGTATGTACTCATTCTTCCATCTCTTCGAAGCGATTTTTGACCTTTTTTGACTGTGATTTCCGTATTTCATCAGAAATGTAGTCCACCTTCCAAGTCGTTCCGATAAGATCAGCTGTTCATATCGCCTGCTGATATCTTTGCTCTTCGCCTGGCTCTCGTCATCTTCAACGGCCGTGTTGTGAATGGCATTTGCATTCTTATTGATTCTTATAGAAGTCGGACGCATTAGATGATGCCACCGAAGGGAGTGAAGGTGGACTGTCGATAGACCACAACGATGAGGACGACGAAATCGAAGCTCATAATAAGGTTGTGGCAAGCGCATCTCCGGACAGCCACATGGACGAAGCGGATGAATCGAACGCGAATGAGAACGTTGCAGAGAATTCGAAAGCAGCCACTTTGCTACAAGAGGTTTCATCGTCTCAGGTTGGCACTATTCGTATCAGCTTCATCCGGTTCATGAATATCTCGAGTATTTAGTGTGCGGACATGTAAACATATTGCTTCAACAGTGAATTGTTATTGAATCTGAGAATTTTGGTTGCTCAAAAAAATGAACGAATCTGTTCTATTGAATGATTTTTTTGTTGCGAAAAATCGCTTTGTATTTATCAGATCTGAACAAAACTGCATCTAACCTCCTTGAAATATTCATTGTTTTGCTTAACTTATGTAGAGATGTTTATCTGTTTGACCTTCCATTAGCCTCATTTATCCCTGGTACGTTCATTCAGCAATTGTTTCTGGCCAATAAACTGAATAATGCTGGGTTATTTCAGGAGGATTGCAAATCAGAGGTGCTGTCCTCAGTGATGAGAATGAGCTCAACTCCAGCAAACGATGCACAGACCACAACCGTTAGCACAACCGTATCGCCAGTGGCTCGAAACACTCCTTCGGCATCCGTCAAAGCGGTCACAACGGTCTCACCGAAATGTGAAACACGCCCATCGCTCACTTCAACGTCGGCTCTCTCGGGTTCCTCATCGTCCACATCCTCATCGACCAACCACCAGCGATCTCGTAAATCTAAGAATCGTCGCTTCGGAATACGTAAACCGCCATCACGATTGAAACGTAAAGAAGTGGCCAAGCTACGTGAGATGAGCATGCGACTTGGTGGTGCACAGTACTTCAAGAAACGTGTCAATGAAACAGCACAATGCGAGGTTAGAGTTTCAGTTTGGAGTTGTTCGCATTGTGGTAGTTTCAATAGTCCTTCATTTCGTTAAGCATTTGTGAAACGATACAGCAACTATCAAGGAGAAACCGAGTTAATTTAGTCGAGAAATTGTTTTCGTTTTGGAAGAATACGAACGAACATTTTTCATTTCACTTAACAGTAGATAATAAGGAAGCCATGCAATAGTGCAGCATGGATATTTAATGCATTTATGCACTTACGAGAGCACAAACGTATGCCACTTCATTCGATAGCACTTCACCGCCTAATCATTCACACATTCGTTGAAACTCGCCATGGAATCGCTAGCAATGCTTTTGGATTTAACAATGAATTTTTCAGAAATGCGGCGTGATAACAACGTCTCGTATGAGTGACCATGCTTATCGTCATATGGACGCTCAGTTGTTCTTGTGTCCACATTGCGATAATGTAAATTTTGCATTTTATATTCGTGGTGTTTGCTTAAAATCTATGCAAATTCTCAGTTAGAAACAATTTCATTGTATGAAACTAAATGCGTCTGAGATCAACTGTTCAGTGCATGTTTTTATTAATAGAATACTACTCATTCAGTATCATATTTGAAAGCGCTTTTCAGGTGTATATTTTTTTCGTCAGTTTGACTGAAATGCGCTATTGTATTTGTATGATTGAATTGTTGCTGATTGAATCTTGTGCGTCATCTTCAGGGAAGTCAATCGAGAGAGTTGGTCGTGCGTCATATGCGTGATATGCATAATTCAACAGAACATCCAATCGATGATCGACTCAAATATGCGGCTGAAATTAAGGAAATGATCCGACAATGCTATCCAGCGTTCTTTATCGACGCACCGATTCCAACTGCGGCTGATATCGAGAAATTGTTCGTTCCTGTTTTGATTACATGATTGCATTATTTTCTTTGTCATTCAGCCATTGTTTTGTGTGATTAGTACACAGCACTCATAATGAGAATAACAAGGATGCAATACTAATGATAATGTTGATAAAATGTTCTGATGGCTGTAATTGCGGCCATTTTCA